TAGGCATGACTCATTGCACTGCCCATTTCTCCATGTTAAGAGAAAGCGCTGATTTTACCATCACTTTTCTGTCCACTGCAAAGATTAAACTCCATTCTAGCTAAAGAGACTTCTAATTGTGTTCCTCATGCCCAGGTTTTACAATGTGAAAATCATATGATATAGGAAAAATGATATTTTAAAGAGCGAAGGAGCAGAATTGAGAGCACATTTTAATAACCATCTGCACCTAGCTTCAGAATTGTCCAGTCACGAAGACATAAAAAAGATATATAGATATAAAAATTAAATCTGCCAGCTCCCATTGTTGATAACCTTGCCATGAGCTCTTTTTCTGAAACTAGCCGACATCCGTTCAAGGGAGAGAAAAGGAATGACATAGTAGTTAGGCTCACTGAGCTCTCTCCTCCATCAATCTGTCCTCAAAAAGAATAGTTAGAGCTGGAAAAGGTGAAGAAAAGGGTCAGTGAACCTGCATACCCTGGCCCAGTATACCTGAAGGAGTGTCTCCACCCCCATCATTCAGCCCAGACACAGGAGTGCCATCTTGCCCTCAGGATTGTGGCGGCTCACCACCGCAACACGGATGTGCGACGTCTCACACACACATGCCTGCACACACACATGCGTGCTGCCAGCTCCTTTTCCTCCTCTACGCAGCCAGTGAGGCACCCTGAAATATACTCGGAGTCGAGAGTGGATTTCATGCTCTTTATTCAGCTCATAGTGGTGAGGAGGAGGAATGGAAATTCCCCCAGAATGTCTGCTTTATGTACATTATTTACACAATGGGCCCCACGTGATCCGGGATTCACCTGTAGGCCAATCAGGTTGGGGATTCACTTCCACCTGGAGCTGGATTGGTTGGCTCCTGTGGACCAGTCAGACTGCTGCATTCTGGACCCTATTGTTCTAGGACCAATCAGACTGCTGCATTCTGAATCCTATTGTTCTAGGACCAATCAGACTGCTGCATTCTGAATCCTGTTGTTCTAGGACCAATCAGACTGCTGCCTTTTGGATCCTATTCAACTCAGTACATAACACACCATTTTCTGCAGTGAGGGGCTTGGATGTGGAGGCAGACACCCACACCCACACCCACCCACCCACTGGAAAAGGGTGCCTCACTGGCTGGTTGCTGAGGGCAGAGCTGAACTGCTTCACTCTGAGGCAGCGCTACTACTGCCTGCCGGCTTTTCTCATTGACTTCGTGGGTGCCCAGTCCCCACAATTATATTATTGTGAGTGCCCCGGAACCCACAGCCCCCTCGAGTTGGCTCCCATGCTGAGTTCTACCTCCAAGGGCCTTCTGGCGATTCTCTCACAGCGAGAAGTGAAGTTACAGGGAACCAGGCAGAGGGCCTTCTCGGTAGTGGCACCCACCTGTATTGTGAAGCTTTTAATGTTTCACGTTTTATTATGCTTTTATATGTGCTGGAAGCCACCCAGAGTGGCTGGGGAAACCCAGCCAGATGAGTGGTGTTTGTGTGTGTGTGTGTGTGTGTGTGTGTGTGTGTGTGTGGTGGTGTTGTTGAATAGGATATCCCTATTTTCATTGGAGAAATGTTGGCGGGTATGAGGACGGTATATAAACCGTGTAAATAAACAAATATGATGCAGCCTTGTATCTTTCCCCCCTTAGTCTGTGTCCCGTACTTGGATCCGTGAATGTGCTCTTTTTCATCCCAGATTGAATCCCTTACTCTGCATTTTTCTAGACATTTTCAGATCTTATTTCCGAGAAAGCAGTTGACATTTTCTTTCTTTTTTGGGGGGGGGGGGAGGGGAAGAAACATGAAAGAAAAGAAATTCCCTGAACTGCCAGAATGCAACAGTAGGAGGTAAGGCTTCAGCTGTCGGTTTGCTTCCTGGCATGCAATTTTAATTAAAGAGTCAGCATGCATGCCACACAAGCCCACAGGAGCTAGGAGCTAAAAATGAACGTGATCAACGGCTAGGAAACATTAGGGACAGGGACAACAATGAAGTGTTATGTCTCAGGTGCCTAATATAATGTATACAAGTCCAAATAAACAATAGCTATCATGGCTGGTCTGGGGAGCAAGATAAATGGCCTGACAAATGTACTTTATTTCACAAGCTACAGCTATAAGGATATTAATTATTGGCCAGAAGGCAGCATCATGTAATGAGTCAGCTTGGGCCAGGGAGAACTAGATTCAAATCCTACTTCAGACAAGAAACTCCTTGGGTATCCTTGAACAAGCCACTCTGCCTTAGCTTAACTATGTATTCCCTGAATTCCACGGGGGAAGAGTGGAATGCAAATGTAAGTTTTTAATGTAACATTATACATTCATTAGGGGACACGGGTGGCACTGTGGGTTAAACCACAGAGCCTAGGACTTGCCGATCAGAAGGTTGGCGGTTCGAATCCCTGTGATGGGGTGAGCTCCCATTGCTCGGTCCCTGTTCCTGCCAACCTAGCAGTTCAAAAGCACGTCAAAGTGCAAGTAGATAAATAGGTACCACTCCGGCGAGAAGGTAAACGGCATTTCTGTGCTGCTCTGGTTTGCCAGAAGCAGCTTAGTCATGCTGGCCACATGACCTGGAAGCTGTATGCCGGCTCCCTCGGCCAATAAAGCGAGATGAGTGCCGCAACCCCAGAGTTGGCCACGACTGGACCTATTGGTCAGGGGTCCCTTTACCTTTTTATACATTCATTAAAGCATGGTATTTATGGTCACACGCTTCTCCAAGCATGGGCTCAGTCTCTTCTAACTTCCAAACAGCTGTGTTTTCCCCTCTTTTCAGAGCTCAGCACTTTCAGCCTTCTGTATCTCAATTAAGCCATGCCTTGCAGTGCCTATGATTTCCACTTTTACCTTCTCCTGCAGTTTTGCTCTTTCTTTCAAGAAGAGAAGAAACACTCCAACACTCCGTTCAACTTAGCAGTGTTCACAGTGGATTCTAAAGCACAGTCATCTTGCTTCGCGTAAAATGCACTCTTTTTTCCACTAGATACCTCCCATGTGACCATCATTAGCCAATCACATGAGAACTACTAGGGAATTATCTAGAATTCAGGTAAAAGGTAAAGGTAAAGGACCCCTGACAGTTAAGTCCAGTCACGAACGACTCTGGGGTTGCGGCGCTCATCTTGCTTTACTGGCTGAGGGAGCCGACGTTTCTCCACAGACAGTTTTTCTGGGTCATGTGGCCAGCGTGACTAAGCCGCTTCTGGCAAAACCAGAGCAGTGCATGAAAACACCATTTACCTTCCCACTGCAGTGGTACCTATTTATCTACTTGCACTGGCGTGCTTTTCAACTGCTAGGTTGGCAGGAGCTGGGACAGAGCAGCAGGAGGTCACCCTATCGCACGGATTAGAACTGCCAACCTTCTGATCGACAAGCCCAAGAGGCTCAGTGGTTTAGACCACAGCGCCACCCACATCCCCAAAGCTAAAAGAGCTTCACCCAGCAATGACTCATGATACTTTACTACTCTGTCTTAAAGCTCCCTTAATCAGCATTAAATCCAGACAATTCTTTTGAGTGAAGTTATCCTTAAAGCAACCCTAAGATGGCGTTAGGGACACAGGTGGCACTGTGGGTTAAACCACAGAGCCTAGGACTTTCCGATCAGAAGGTTGGTGGTTGGAATCCCCGTGACGGGGTGAGCTCCTGTTGCTCGGTCCCTGCTCCTGCCAACCTAGCAGTTCGAAAGCACATTAAAGTGCAAGTAGATAAACAGGTACCGTTCCGGCAGGAAAGTAAACGGCGTTTCCGTGCACTGGTTTGCCAGAAGCAGTTTAGTCATGCTGGCCACATGACCCGGAAGCTGTACACCGGCTCCCTCGGCCAATAAAGTGAGATGAGCGCCACAACCCCAGAGACGGTCACGACTGGACCTAATGGTCAGGGGTCCCTTTACCTTTTTAAGATGGCGTTAAATCACCCCCCTCTCTCTCACACTCTCACACACACACACACACACACACACATACTGCATCTCCCCACCCCCACCCCGCCACTGGTGTAATGAATCTCTCCTCTTTTCACAGAGCCAAACAGCAAGAGAGAGGGGGAAAGGGGGAGAGGGCTGGTTCAATATCCTGAACTTTCCATGACCATTATTAATCATACAAACAGCCTTTCCCAAGGGTATTGGGGGGGAGGAAACCTTTTTTCAAAAATGGGATGACTGGCTGTTGTTTTCACCATTGGTGGAGTGATCAGGCATAGCATTGGGATGGGAGCAAAGGAAAGTCTACACCTGCCTCCTTTTATATCTGCTCACATCAGTCTTGACGGCCTTGTACTAAAAATACCTTGTGAACGAGAAACAAATTAATCGGATGCGACTTTAAACGGAGAGCACCCAAGTTCGGGGGCAGAAGCAGCAGAGCAACTCCTACGTCATTGCATTCCCTATCTCCTATAAAGGGCAATTAGGAGTAAGATTGAGTTTAAAATGTGTAGGATAAACAAATAAAAAACGAGACAGTGGGATGAAGAAGTATACAGAGCTTTTGCATTAATTTTGAATCCAGTGCTGTAGCTTGTGTTTGGGATGGGCAAACCTGTCCATTCTGAGTTCTCTCAGTTTCTCATTTTTCCTGTCTTCGGTTCTCCCCATTTCCAGTTCGCTATCTATACCATATTTTTTGCTCTATAAGACTCACCTTTTCCCTCCTAAAAAGTAAGGGGAAATGTGTGTGCGTCTTATGGAGCGAATGCAGGCTACGCAGCTATCCCAGAAGCCAGAACAGCAAGAGGGATTGCTGTTTTCACTGCGCAGCGATCCCTCTTGCTGTTCTGGCTTCTGAGATTCAGAATATTTTTTTTCTTGTTTTCCTCCTCCAAAAACTAGGTGTCTTGTGGTCTGGTGCGTCTTATAGAGCGAAAAATACAGTATATTTAGCTCCTTGTGAAAATTCACCAGCATTTCAGTATGAATTTCTACAAACACGTGAATGCTTGCCTGCAGTTTTGCCCAATGCCCACATTTTTGCAGAGCAATTTCCCATAATGTACTGAATTTGTTTTGTCTGTCGTGTTCACTTAAAACAGGCCTTTTTATGAACACCCTGCCCCAGTATGCACATTTTTTCTAGGTATTTCTTGGCTGGAGAACTACATTTCAGAATGCAGCAAATTTTGAAAGAAGTCTATCTTTCGGTTATCATATTGTTTCACAAACTGTGATTTAGGCAGGTGCTCCTTGAAATGCGAATTGAACTGAATTTCTCCCCATCTCTTATCCATTGCTAGACTGCCTGCTTTGCAGGTTTTATCACCTGGCACTTTCAGGTAGGGTCATGATACACAACTCTGAATTAGATGGATCAATGGTTAGATTCGTCACGAGAAGAGAAGTAAATGTGTTGTGTTTCTCCCATGTTGCTATTCTGACAGTAAACAGAACTGGTCATCTGCTTGACAGCAAATATGGATGAGAAGTTTCTCTTTGTCATCCAAATGTTGCGAGCCATTCCCTTCACAGTCCAGGGTTCAAGTTTTGGTTAGAATGTGCTCCATACATCATCTTCTCAAGAAGTCAGACCAAGTGAGGTGACGTATTTATTTCCAATTCATGCAGTGTTGTCCTGGCATTTGGATTTAGTGCTGGTCTTCCTCAGTCCTCATAATTGCCTGAGATAATGAAAGACAAGGAACAGAGAGGGATGTTACAAGAAAGAGAAATGACAAAGGTGACGTGTTCTAAATATAGTTGCTTCTCTGCAATGTGCAGCCAAACTTGGGGTTTTGCTTTTGCCTTATCTTGTCAGACTTCTACTTCAGTTACTACTTCCTTCCCTCAGACACTCTTGGGTGTTGAAATCAGCAGAGGGAGCCTTCTTGGTCGTTTCAACCCCTCAGAAGTTAAGCGCATGGCAGCTTAGGAGTGGGAATTTTCTGTGCCAGACCTAATGTATGGAATTCCCTCTCCACAAAGGTGTGTCTGGCACCTTCATTGTTTAGTTTCCATCCTGTGATGAAGATGTGCCTCTTTACCCTGGCCCAGGCACAAGCAAACTTGGCCCTCCCTATGTTTTAGGACTACAACTCCCATCATCCCTGTTAGCTAGGGATGATGGGAGTTGTAGTCCCAAAACATCTGGAGGGCCGAGTTTGTCTATGCCTGCCCTGGCCTAAGACACCAGAGATATGTAAATAGAGGAGCTGCCCAATTCTTGGCGGTAATTTGTTTTAAACTGTTTTCGATATTGTAATCTTAAATTCCTGTAACCCATCCAGGTACATCAAGCTGGAGGGTGCATAAGAAATCAAATCATCATTATTGCCATTATTATTATTTTGAAAATCATGTTCCATACCAAAGAGTGTATCAGTAGGGTTTATTCTTCAGGAGAAATCCACCAGTTAGTCATTCACTGAATTTGTTCATTGCTGCCAGCAAAGGAAAGACTCCAGGCATTTTAAAACAATAAAAAAAATACCACAATTGCCACAAATCTGCCGTTTAAAAATATTACTGCAAACTAAAAGTGTTCATCCACAAAAAAAAAAAACAATTTAGAAATAAAATACTCTTTGCCATTCTTAGCAGCAAGGTGATCCCTAAGATACAGCCAAAATGGCCACAGAAACCACAATGCTAAAGCTGCTGCCCAAATTCCTGAGAGAATAAAAATATCTTCGTCTGCTGCCAAAATAATGCATTGGCTCCAGGGAAGCATCCCCAGGGGGAATATTCCAGAATGATAGCTGGTGGGATCTAATTCTGATGCTTCTGTTGCCTCAGATGATTCTGCTGTGCTGAATTCTGAAAAAGAACAGAGCAAAAACATGAATATACTCAGCGATACTGAAAGCTGAGCTTATGCACTTTGCAGTTGAAGATTTATTCCCCAAATATGTGTCAATTCTGAATGTGTGTGCTCAGCATTCATCATGCTAGGGGGTGGCATTTAACTATGTTTTACTCAGAATTAGACCTATTGAAATGAATGGGCCTCATTTAGCCATGGTCATTGTTATGTACTGAAGTTCTCACCCTGGGCCAACAGGGGGATACTGTAGATAGTTTTCACTCAGGTCCACATATGCAAATAAGGGATTGAAAGTGACGTTCAGTGATTGGTTAGTTACAGAAAATGGTTACTGTTGCATTCTAGTGGAGCTCTATATAAGCAGGCTGGCTGAACCCTTCAGTTCAGTTCTGTTCTGGCCTGTGAATAAACAAGAGCTGTTTGAAGAATTGCTGTGTCGTCTGATATGTTCACCCACAACTTAACAGTCATTAACTTCAACAGGGTGAATACCACCCTAGGTTTCCAAAGCTGGTAGCCCAGGACAAAAGTTGATTACTTCAACCCCTTACTCTTGACTGAAATGCTGGAACTGGCCTGGAATTTTAAAATGGAAATGCATTTACAGAACCAATACTTTAACTCTGAGACAATCAATTGGCTTGATTGCCAATTGATTGCTTGGGAATGCCACATGCTGTTTTGGGGTTGTGTGTGGATCTGTAACAGCTCTTGTTCCAGCTTGAGCCCTGCTACCAAGAGACTTTGTTGGAGATTCCAGGAAGGTTCATGTTTCATGGCTGCCTACTTTCCCTGGAGGCAATGTGATCAGTCAGGGTCCTGAAATCCTCCTGGGCCATACCTGATTAATAGAACTGGCTTCTCTTACTCCCAGGGATTTTTTTCAGCCGGAATTTGCCGGAACTCAGTTCTAGCACCTCTTTTTTCTAGAAAAATAGTACTGCTTACTCCCATGCACTGAAATTCTCATTACGAGAACAAAACACTGAGAATTCTCAGAAGAAAAGCTGGATATTTTTCAAGCATTTTGACAATGGTGTTCACAATGTGCAACTAATTACCACCCGAATTGAGGTTATTTTGCAGATCTCTAGACAGGACAAGAAAGCTTTCTGCCCTCCTTCCCTTTCTATTATATGAAACTATTTTTTCACCTTTTATCTGCATCATCTGGAAGCTTCCACACCTATAGGCGGAGCGGCGGTGCTGCATGAACCTTCCAAGATTTTATTTTTATTTTTTACAAAAATGTTCTGTGTTGTTTCCCTTCCAGCATCTATAGCCCCTTTCTGCCTCTGCATCATCTAGGGAGCATACTTGAGCAAAGCAGGTTCCCCTGAAGCAGACATTCAGCAGACGTATGCAAGGGGCCAACAAGTCATCCCCCTTCTGCCATGAAAAACACAGGGGTGGGAAGAATAAATGAGTAGAACAACAGTTTTAAAGAGATCTCTTAGAACCAGACTATTGATTTTAACTTGGAGGGGTCTTAGGTAGCAGCAAGAAGCAACTACAGTGGACGCTCGGGTTGCGAACGTGACCCGTGCAGGATGCACGTTCGCAACCCGCAGTGTTCACAACCCACGTCTGCGCACCCGCGGCTTGCGATCCAGTGCTTCTGCGCATGCGCAAAGCGCAGTTTAACACTTATGCGCATGCGCCACTGCCGAAACCCAGAAGTAACCCGTTCCGGTACTTCCGGGTTTTGGCAGTCCATAACCTGACGCGGGTCCGTAACGGTCTGGTTGAAGGTCTGGTTGAAGAGGAACGTTTTTGCCTGGCGCCTAAAAAATGTATAATGAAGACACCAGACAAACCTCCCTCGGAAGACCATTCCAATATCCTCCAACATTTCTCTGAGGAAAATAAGGACATCCTATTCCACTCCCTCCAACATTTCTCTGATGGAAATACAGTAGTACCTTGGGTTAAGAACTTAATTCATTCCGGAGGTCCGTTCTTAACCTGAAACTGTTCTTAACCTGAGGTACCACTTTAGCTAATGGGGCCTCCCGCTGCCGCCGCACTGCCGGAGCACAATTTCTGTTCTCATCCTGAAGCAAAGTTCTTAACCCAAGGTACTCTTTCTGGGTTAGTGGAGTCTGTAACCTGAAGTGTATGTAACCCGAAGTACCACTGTAGGGGCATCATTCCATAAACAGGGAGCCGCTTGTGTTGCCACCCCACTGATCTCTTACGGAGAAGACACATGAAGCAGGGCCTGAGATTATTATTGCAGCGTCTGGGTTTATTGATATGGGAAGAGGCGGTCCTTGAGGTCTTGCAGTCCTGGGCTATTTTACTACTGTTTGTGCCATATTAGGACAGAGGACTTCAGAGAATGAGATTGTTTCACCATTGACTGATCCTAATAAACTGTGTGTTCTGCCATGAACTGATGCTCTGCATGTGTTGGGTGCATTGTTTTACAATGTGTTTTTTACATGTGGCATAATTAGAAATGTGGCCTATGTGGTACATGATGATAAAAAATGCAATTAAAAATGAAGGTACACAAAACTTTTTACAAACAAACAACAATGAATCTAGTATTGTGAGGAGGGGGGCTGTTGTCGTGTCTGTCTTCAGCAACCAGAGTTGTCAGTGTTTAATCTTAGATGCTGTTTTGTGCCTTAAGAAATGAGATGTAGAATTCAGCAGGCAGGATTCTCACCAGGGCAAGATGGCTTGAACATATAGCACCAATCCTGGCCTAAGTGCACTGGCTGCCAATTAGTTTCTGGGAGCAATTCCAAGTGCTGGTTTTGACCTATAAAGCCTTAAGTGGCTCAGGACTGCAATACTTAGTTCAAAGTTTGAATTAGTTCTAAGTTCTAACTCAAACTTAGAGCTATGAAGCAATTTGAACTTTGAACTAATTCAAAATTAGAGCTTAGAGCTAATTCAAAACTACATCTTAGAACTAATTCAAAAATAGAGCTTTGAACTAATTCAAAATTAGAGCTTTGAACTAATTCAAAATTAGAGCTTTGAACTAATTCAAAATTAGCACTTTGAACTTCTCTCTGGAGCTTTAAAGCACAGACCCGTGCCTGGAAAGAGCAGGGCAAAAGGCAAGTCCAAAGTGACACAGTGAACTGTTGCAGTTTCTTTTATCTCACCCTATTAAACCACAATATGTTCAAGCCTTTTCCTCTTGTATGCAGCCCCTTCACTCCTCCCTTTGCAGTAAGCTTCAATTTAAAAATAAATAAATCAGGAAGCCTTCAATTAACCACAGTTTCCCACTTTGCCTGCACAAAACTATAGTTGCTAGCTTTGGAGCAAGCTATGATCTTAAGCCAACTGCAAACTATGGCTTAATATCCTTTTCGCTCTCTGCAAACCTTTTTAAAAAACTTGTCCAGAACTGCATATGGCTGACCAATCAATGTTTAGCCACCTCCCCTTCTATAATTATTATGCAATGGGCATAGCTGCTTCATTAGAATCACTCTTGCTTTTTCTGCACTGCACAAAGGAAAAGATACCATGCAATCAGTGCTCCTAGTGATGTAACTAACAATAACCATTTTCTAAGTTAACATACGAATAACACTGATAACACTTTTATCTGCTACCTTTTGTGGCATCTATTGTTGTTTCCACTTTCCATCCCTTACTGCAAAGATGATAAACTTGATAGTTGAAATTAAACCATGGGGGAAAGGAGAATGAAATAGGCTGATCCCACTTGCATAGTTTTTTTGGGGGTTTTTAATGATCTAAATAGCTTAAAATTAGATTTCCACAAGCTTTAGGTTTCCCCATTTATAACTATCGGTATTTTTATATTGCTGCTTCTGCTGTGGTTTTATCAGCTGTGCTGATGTTTTATAGATATTTTTAATGCTTGTTTCAGGTTATTGATGGGTAGACAGACAGGCTGTGGATGAAGGGATGGATAGTTAGGGAGAAACTATTATTATTATTGTTACTGTTATTATTATTATTATTATTTATTTATACCCCGCCCATCTGGCTGGGCTTCCTCAGCCACTCTGGGCGGCTTCCAAAAAAATATTAAAATGCTGTAATACATCAGACATTAAAAGCTTCCCTAAACAGGGCTGCCTTCAGATGTCTTCTAAAAGTTTGGTAGTTATTTTTCTCTTTGACATCTGGTGGGAGGGCGTTCCACAGGGAGGGCGCCACTACCGAGAAGGCCCTCTGCCTGGTTCCCTGTAACTTGGCTTCTCGCAGTGAGGGAACTGCCAGAAGGCCCTCAGTGCTGGACCTCAGTGTCCGGGTAAAATGATGGGGGTGGAGACGCTCCTTCAGATATACTGGACCAAGGCCGTTTAGGGTTTTAAAGGTCAGCACCAACACTTTGAATTGTGCTTGGAAACGTACTGGGAGCCAATGTAGGTCTTTCAAGACCGGTGTTATGTGGTCTCGGCGGCCGCTCCCAGTCACCAGTCTGGCTGCCGTGTTCTGGATTAGTTGTAGTTTCCGGGTCACCTTCAAAGGTAGCCCCATGTAGAGCGCATTGCAGCAGTCTAAGCGGGAGATAACCAGAGCATGCACCACTCTGGCGAGGCAGTCCACAAGCAGATAGGGTCTCAGCCTGCGTACCAGATGGAGCTGGTAAACAGCTGCCCTATGCGACGGAAGCGGCACATCCACTTCCCTGGGAGAGGTATCTTGGCTCCCCTCAGCCTGACTGAGCCTTTGCAACATCCCCCCTTTCTGTCATTGTCCGTGTCTCCAGAAAGCTCCCCCTCCCCAGACTCTGATGAAGTGCAGCTGCTCAGCAGAGGAGGAGGCTGTCTTTACGTTCCTGTCTCTCCCCCCTCCCCTGAAAGCAGACCCCTGACAGCTTGGGTTCAAAGATTGCAAGATGGAATTTTCTTTATTCAGCGGACTTTATTTTTCTTCCTTCTGAAAACTCTTGTGCCTACAAAAAAATA